TTTTAAACTACGTCGTATTTTTTGTCGTCGGGCAAGATTCCTTTATCTGTGCATTTATGTCCTAAGAAAGTGCATGAAAAATGAACATTTTTCAGGATGTAACTTCAAGTTTTTCGGAACAACCTATGACTAGTAAGTCATCCATATAAAGAAATGCTTGCGAAGGTTCTAATCTAGAGAAAACTATAGTCATCATTCTCTGAAAAGAGCTTGGCGCTATTTTTGAACCGAATTTTAATCGCGTGAAGCGGTACGAACCATTGTTTGTTGAAAAAGATGTTATATCCCGTGAACTTTTTTCCAGTTCAATTTGATGAAAACCTGACATTAAGTCAAGGCATGAGAAATATTTTGCTCTACCTAGTTGATCTAAAATATCATCGATTCTAGGGAGTGGAAATTTATCAGAGAAGAGTTTTTTATTAATTTGACGATAGTCAATTACTAATCGCCATTTTTTATTTTCCGAATTTGGAAGTGACTTTTTTGGTACTAACAAAAGTGGGCTATTATAAGGTGATACAGAGGGTTCCACTATTTCATCATTGATGAGTTTTTGGACTTATTTTTGAATTTCGTCTTGTTGACCATGAGGATTTCTATAATTTTGTATATATACGGGTTCATCATCAATTAATCTCAGCTTTTGTTTATAAAAATTATTGGTAGTGATCGATTCGGTTTCTAGTCCAAGCACATCACTATACTGGGTGCATAATGCTGTAAGTTGTTCATTGAATTGAGGCGGGAAGTTTTTTGCAAGTTGGGATAATACAATTTTTTGTCTGTCTTCTAAGTCCATTTTTACTATTTCGTAGTTTGAAAGTGGTTCATGATGAATTTTTTTGATATAGACTACTTGATCTGTGTTTGTAGTATTTAGTAATCTTATATATGCATTTTGGACTGTTGCTATGGTATTTGCGATATAGATACCAAGATAAATTTCTTGATTCGGAATTAATACACTGTCTTCTTCTGAATTTATTTCGATTTTTCGGACGACTTGGGATCTTGCTGGCAGAATTAGGGAGTTGTTGCCAGAACTGTATGCTATTGGAACATAAATTGGATGTTTTAGGTTGTTTGGTCTTATTATAAGCCAGTCTTCAGACGGCTTGAAGTCTAATTGACAGTTGTATCTTTTGATAAAATCGATTCCTAGTATTCCATCACATGGAATAGCGAATTGCATATTTACGATATGGAAATCATGTTGAACTTAGAAGTTTGAATTTTAATAGAAGTTAAACCTTTTGATTTGGTAACTTCCTGACTTATACCCTGTATGTTTATGATGTGATTATCTTGAATGTTTTGAAAATTATCAGAATTTTCCTTCAATAAGGATATTTCCGCACCTGTGTCTAGTAAGAGAACTAATTCTTTTCCTGTTGCTACGTTCATGAAAGTGACAAATGTATTTTGACTGAGATTTAGAGTGTGAATTTTGATGTTGTTTACTGTCGTGTATCTAAAGGTGGTTGGGAGTTTCCCGAATTTGTTTGTGCTACTCTAACATTGTTATTGTGGTTGTTGTTGTTTCCCCCACGGCTGTTTCCGCCGCTGGTGTTTCCACCACGGTTGTTGTTTCTGTAATAATTGTTATTTTGGTTATTGTTATTTCTGTTATAACCATTGTTTTGATTATATCCGTTATTCTGATAATATCTGGTATTGTTATAATTACCTCGATTATTACCTCGTCCGCGATTTCCACCGCGCTGCGGGTAATTTTTGTAATATAGGACAGTGTTTGGCTGTCCGGTTGCTTCTGTGCAACTGTTTACAAATTTGGATATGGCCTCATTCATTGTATTGAAGGTACCAGCTTGCATGATAGTTTTCACCTTATCGATTGTGCAATTTTTAGTCATTGCTTTCGCTGCATGCCGAGTGGGATAACATCTGGCTAACTCTAGGGATAAGCCATCTGTTATAAATGCACCTTCTAAGGATTTCGTAATCTGCTCAACCTCTTGTGTGTACTGGTTGGCAGTTTTATTGCGTTTGTTGTAGGCTCATCAGTTTTGCTGACAACACTTCCACAGTTTAGCCTTTGACGTTGTTTTTTAATCTGGAAATGACTTCAGCTATTGTTGTTTTATTTCCGATTAAATTTCTGGCGACACCTTTAGCTTTGTTTTTATAATGGAAACTGCTAATTGTTCGTGTTCGCCTTTTATTGATTCTATTATTTCTAATGCATCCATAAAACTTGTTAAGTTTTCAGCTTTACCATCGAAAACTGGTATAAGCTTGGATGCTGTATTAATGAAATCAATATTATATTGTGCCATTGTGATATTGTTTGTTATTTTAATTTCTATTATGCTTGAACTATCATCAGAATCTGTAGAATTATCCAAATCTGACATTAAAACAGCTGGAATAGTAAGATTATTTAAATCTTGCTCTTCTATTTTAGGATTTGTTTCTGTAAGGTCTTCTGATTCTATTTGGTCAATGTCAGTTTGTTTTGTTGATTCCGATTCATCACCAGTTTCAACTGCTAGGGAAGTGTTAAGTATAGTCGGTACTGATATGTCCAACTTAAACTTTTGTTTAATTGATATTAAATTAGATCGTAGTCTGATCAAAAATTTGATACTTGGGACCAATGATCTTGATTTAATTTTTCCCTCTGGCCATATATTAGTATTCGTGCTTCATTAAAGCATTTTACTACCTGTTTTGAGTAAGTGACTTATATGATTTGTCAAAGTCAACTTTTATGTCATTTATCTGCTTATATAATTCATTCCAATACATTATATTGTGGAGATGAATTATTTCTTAAAGACCATCATTACTATTGTTCTACCTAGTATTGGGTGTTCGTCTACTACTGATCTAACCTGTACCCCTGGGATGGTGGACAGGACAATTCCCTTTTGGGTGCTTGTGCAATGAATTAGTGGAGAGGCATCTAAATTAAATGTTTCAATATATAAGTTTTCTAATTCATAAATGCTTACTGAAGTTGGTGCAACTAATTGCAGGATTCTTTCTTTAAAATGAATGTCCCTATCATATGTGTCTCTAATTGCTTTTAGAGTAGCCATTTTTAATTAATTTATTTTTATTTATTTATTTTTATTTTATTCCATTTTCTTTAATTTTTAAAATTTCAATACAGCAATATTTTTATATTAATGTTGTTTGTGCCAAAATTTTTAAATTGTGTCCAGATCATTTGCCTGGCTCATATATTTTTTCTTAAGACATTTATTATGCAATTTATAAAGTTCATAGAAACAGTTTGCGCACATTATAACAACAATTATTATTAGCAATGTATGAATTAATTCTAAGTCAATGGTGTTTGACTCTATCTTATTAATAACATTTGCAGTGGAATCCACTGTTTTTGTATCTATTAAACCCAACTTTGGGGTTGGTATTCTTAATATATACACTGCGCGTCATCAGATTAGCGCCCCCTGAGCATTCTCGTGTACTGTCCAATATTATCCAATCTATCAAGGCTTAAGCCATACAAATTTTTTTTGACGATACTTTTAATAATATTCTTCAAAATAAGATAAGGTACATAATGATAAGTACAACAATAATATTTTATTTATTTGAAAAGAAAATGTATACCAAAAATATGAATTTAATTTTGCGTCATCAGATTAGCGCCCCCTGCTTAAATTTAATGAATTTTCACTTAATGCTTAACAACTAGTAGTGTTTTATGTTTTATCTTATTATTTACTTATTTTCTAATCAAATTAATAGTGGGTGGTCCCGCCCCCATTTTCCAGGACCTCACAGATCCTGCTGGGAAGTGACTCGTACAATTTCTCAATGTATTGTAATGATATTGAAGACCAAGCTTCTTTAATCCCGTCGATGAACTCCAATTTTGTACTATACTGCTTTCCAGACTCGTATACTTTTCTCGAGAGCCATCCCCACACGTTCTCTTTTATATTTAAGTCCGGAGAGTACGGCGGCCACTCCAGGACATCAACGTTTTGGCCCTGTATCCACGATTTTACAGATCGGGACGTGTGGATTGGAGCGTTGTCGTGTTGAAAACGCCATTTAAGATTTCCAAAAGATTATTATACGCCACGGCGTTCATTTTCGGGGTGAGAAATTGTAACTCATAGGTGCCATAATAGGATATGGCTCCCCATACCATTACGCCACCTACCCGGCTATGTAAACGATCTAAAATATGCTCTTCTTTACGCATGTCATGGAAATAATAATTATAGCCGTCAGGGCCTTCTAAATTAAATTTTTTTCATCGGAAAAGACTACAAAGCGCCACTCCTTCGACCATGTCATATGCGAGCGAGCAAAATTTAGGCGCATTTCCTTTCGTAACTTATTTAGTTGTGGTTATACCCGTTACTCGTAGAGTAAAAGGGTATACTAGATTCGTCGGAAAGTATGTAACAGGCAGAAGGAAGCGTTTCCGACCCCATAAAGTATATATATTCTTGATCAGGATCACTAGCCGAGTCGATCTAGCCATGTCCGTCTGTCCGGATGAACGCTGAGATCTCGGAAACTATGAGAGCTAGGCTATTGAGATTTGGCGTACAGATTCCTGAGCTTCTTACGCAGCGCAAGTTTGTTTCAGTAGACTGCCACGCCCACTCTAAAGCCCACAAACCGCCCTAAAATGTAACTCCTACAGTTTTGATGCTAGATAGAAAATTTTAACTGAAATGTATTAGTCTTGTCAATACCTATCGATTGACCAAAAAATTTTGCTACGCCCACTCTAACGCCCACAAACCTCCAAAGAAAAAAGCTATGACGTTAGAGCCAGACAATGCGAAATGTTTTTACGCATGTATGTGTGTGTATGTAAATAGTTGCCGGCCGAACTTAGCGGCAAAGAAAAAAGCCCTGCCGGCGCTCAGAGAGAGCAAAGTGCGCCGAGAAATGAGAGCAAGGGAGAGAGAACAAAGTGCTCGGCTAACTTATTTTAAAGTTTGTTATCTGAGTAACGGGTATCTGATAGTCGAGGTACTCGACTATAGCGTTCTTCCTTGTTTTTTTTTTAGTTTTAGTCTTTTCAAGTGTTCTGCTTTTTTTATGACTCGTAATACCGTGGACTTGCTAGCTTCCACACCGCTTTTTTCTTTAATTTTGGTAAAAGAGTCGTGTGAATTAGACGCATGTCTAACTATAGACTGAATGTCTGCTTCGGAAAGAACTCTGTTGTTACCGCCTTTCATATTTTTACCATAGCCTTGTTTATTTTTAAGAAAATTGGCTATAGTTTTTCGATGCCTTCCCATTTTTTCAGCAATTTTATGTAAAGATAAGCCACTTTCACTAAAGGCTTCGATCTTAGATTTTTCTTCTAAAGATAGGACAGTTCCTTTACCCATTTTGATTCTCAGTTTATAAACAATAATTGAATAATTGTCACAGCACAAAAAATTTCACAACTGTACGCCAAAAATTACGCGAGATAACTAAATTTGAATTTACAGGCGCTAATCTGATGACGCAAAATCAGTGCAAGCTTTTGCAGCGAAAGTAAAACAAAATAAAGAAAAAATAGATAACGGAATCTCTCACCTAACGGTATTCCTCTCAGAGAGCGACAATTTGTGCATTTTAAGAGCAACAACAAAAATTTTGAAGTTGCGTGCAATAGAAACAGAGATAGATGCAATAAAGTAAAACCAAAAGGGGGCGCTAATCTGATGACGCGCAGTGTATCTTGGTCTGTCAAATACTTTAGATTTTTGAATTTATTCGTAAATGTTGGTAATGATATTCATAAACAACTAGTTTGATATGATTAATTTTGATTTGATTTTTTTTTTGTTTTTGACCAATTATTATTATATTTGACATACAATTTCCTGCCTATTTTGTGTATGGTTTTCAGGCCATACTCTAATCGGGCCACTTTTATGTCGCTCAATTTTTACATTTGTTTTTATAAAATATATGAAAAAATATGTATCGCAGTGCAATTAAAAAAATTTTTGCAACGCAGTGCAAAGAAAAAAAAATTATGCGCTCTTGGTAGCGCTGTCGGTTTACTCTTCCTTGGTACCGGTGCTGGCTGCACAGGTGTACTTCATGGTGGGGCACCGGTGCTGGCTACACAGGTGTACTCGCAGAAGGGGGAGTACAGTGGTCCCTCGCAGTCATCCGGGCACGTCTTCTTCAGCATTGGGATGGCAACTTTTTCTGGAGGAGGCAATGTGTTTTTATTTTTGGCAATATTTGGGATTACAAGGTAGGTGGATGTGTCTGTGGCTGTGGTCTGATTCTTACGTACTGATAGCAAATTTTTTAAGTATTCAACTTCGGCATGTATTTTTACCGAGTCGGTCCACTTTATTGCTTCGCCGCTCTTGAGCAGCTTCAGTAGTTGAGCCTTTCTGGCTTTCAATCTTTTACCACGCCACTTCTTTTGGCACACATCACACTCTACTCACTGCGTTTCTTCTCTTGTTCTTGTAGTGTAAGCTGTTGTTGTTGCCGTTTTTGCTGTTACTGTTGTTGCTTTTGTTGTAGCTGTTGTTGCCTTTGTTGTTGCTGTTGTTGCCTTTGTTGCTGTTGTCGCCTTTGTTGCTGTCTTCTTATTTTTTGAAGTCCAGATCCAGGTCCAGATCCTTTTGGACCAAAGTCACAGTCGCCATGTTGTGTGAAACGCCTTGTATTGGTAGTTTTAATATTCTTTATTCATATAGTGAGAACGCATCTTTTGGTAGTTATACCCGTTACTTGTAGAGTAAAAGGGTATACTAGATTCGTTGGAAAGTATGTAACAGGCAGAAGGAAGCGTTTCCGACCCCATAAAGTATATATATTCTTGATCAGGATCACTAGCCGAGTCGATCTAGCCATGTCCGTCTGTCTGTCCGTTCGGATAAACGCTGAGATCTCGGAAACTATAAGAGCTAGGCTATTGAGATTTGGCGTGCAGATTCCTGAGCTTCTTACGCAGCGCAAATTTGTTTCAGTAGAGTGCCACGCCCACTCTAACGCCCACAAACCGCCCAAAACTGTGGCTCCTACAGTTTTGATGGTAGATAAAAAATTTTAACTGAAATGTATTAGTCTTGTCAATACCTATCGATTGAACCAAAAAAAATTTTGCTACGCCCACTCTAACGCCCACAAACCTCCCAGACAATGCGAAATGTTTTTACGCGTGTATGTGTGTGTATGTAAGTAGTTGCCGGCCGAACTTAGCGGCAAAGAAAAAAGCCCTGCCGGCGCTCAGAGAGAGCAAAGTGCGCGGCTAACTTATTCTATTGAATAATGAATAAATTATCCAATTGTCCCATTGACGGGCAAAAACCTTTAAAGATCTGTACATCTTTTTTTATCTCTTTCAATGAATATGTATTAGCTTAAAAAATACCTATAGATTGTCCCAAAAAAACTTTTCCGTTTTCAGTCCAATGCTCTCAAACCAAAGTAGTTAGGACAAGCCTTGACACTAGAGCCAGAAAACGACATACATACATACACACATACATACATATATGTATACATGCATGTGTGTGGGTGTAAAAAATTACAATCTAATATCCGCGGCAAATAGAATTCTTTCAAACAAAGCTATTCAACCAAATATTTTGAAGTACAGAATGTGCCTTAAAATTGTGTATGTTTAGCAAGCATACATAAATATAAATGTTATTTGTCTATTTTATGTGTTGCTTTCTCATTCTTGGCGCTGGCTGAAACAAAAGCAGAGCCGAGAAATGAGAGCAAGGGAGAGAGAAAAAAGTGCGCGGCTAACTTATCTTATCTGAGAAACAGGTATCTGATAGTCGAGGTACTCGACTATAGCGTTCTTCCTTGTTTTAATATTCTTTATTTTGTATTTGGTATTTGTATTTAGGAGCAGCGTTAATGCCGCTTCCAACGTCAAGTTGTTTCTGATTTTACAATTTGCCTTAGGATCTAAGTAAGCCAAAGTCTTGTAGCTGCGCTGCCTCAGTTGGGCGGCAGAGAGACGGCTATGTATATCTTATGTATATTAGTGTATTTAACTATGCTCTCTTTAGCTGGAGCGCGAGGGTATATGTATGTACTTGAGTTTGGCTGAGCGGCCGGCGTATGCAACAGAATGCTGACACTTGCACTTTCTGTGAGCGCACCGATCGACTCATGTTTCGGCCACTTAGGTTTTTGACCGAGCCTTTGTTTATATAAACACTGCAACAAAGTGTTACAGTGTGTTTGATTCAAGTACTCTTGGTACAGTAGATATTCGATATAAGTGCATACTACAATGGATCGCATGATGGAAATGAAAATGAGGTGGATGTTGCGGATAGGTCATGGTTCGAAGATTCGGACTCAAATTTAAAAATCGAGAACACTTTGACAAATAATGATCCCGTGCATCGCAAGATAAACATATCAAATGATTTGAGTTAGTAGCAGAAGCAATAAGTGTGTTTTGGTTATATTTGTGTAAGTTTTTTCCCCACCTGCTGGCTTGGTGTTTGAGTTACCAAGGCTTGATCCAAGTTTTCCATCATCCTGCACCTCTTTTCCAAAAACGACTCCATAGCACATCAGGTAGACAGCTCAGTGATTGACAAATCCTCTTTCCATTTTTCCCCCGTCCTCTGATCCAGTTACCGAGTGACGATGTGAATTAAAAGTCCATCCAAAATTTGTTGCGTATTGGCCAGGGTTCGAATTGCTCGCAGATGCGAATTCATGCAATCACTCAGCTCCCGAAGACCCTTCGAAGATCCCTTCTCGACACCCTTTAAACCGAATATTGCCTGAACGTGTGCCTGAAAGTGTAAAACATTATTATAAAATCGATTAACCAGCAAATTCATAGCCTTTTATAATTAGCATTCGAGGGTTCAAGCGAGCGTATGGTTTCCAGAGCCACGCCGCCCAAACTCGAACGCAAATATTGTAATTTTTCAATGTCGCTTAGCTCATCATCATTTCCGATGACCGTAGTGAAAGTCGCAAGGAAATCCTGCCACTCAGAGTAGGATCCATAAAAACAAGCAATTTCCAAATTTGGCAACCGAGGCTTCCTAGATCGAAAAGAAAGATCCGCATTATTAGTGATGTCAATAGATGTTGAATTTGCAGCGGTTGAAGCCGGCAATTGTGACTTTCGATGAGCAGTCAAGCCTCGGCTTAGTTTCGCCTTCACATCCATGAAAACCTCGGCAAATTCAATCCGATGGTCGCTCGAGATCTCTGCAAAATCCAGTCTTTCCAACGATGTCTGCGCAGAATCAAATGCCTGGTTTAAGGAATTGATCCATTCCATTCGCGCAAGCAAATCAGCTTCGTCAAACTGATTAACCGCATCAGCGTTTAAATAACATTTCATCGAGCTCATTTGCCGCAAAATAGATTGGGCTTTGACTCGGTAGTAGTCGACGTCACTTGTGGATTCATTTTGAGCCCGAACCGAGTTTTCCCTATCAGACATTTTTCAATCACGAGAAAAAGAATGAAAGAAAATAAAATGTCCGACCGCGTTAGAGGCACGAAACACCGTATACCTTTTACCGCGAAAATGTGGAGGTTAACAAGCGTCGCCGAGATGCAACGGAACCTTTAACTCCGTTGTTGTTGTTCTTGCCGATAAATTTCCTGCCTAGCAACAGCGGATATATGTAATTGGCAAACGAATATATGTATGGCTATATGTACATATATACATATATGTAATATGCGCTATTAACAAAGATTAAATGCGATTCACTTTGTTAAGAATTATTTGCACAACACAGTTTTGGTGTTTTTACAAAGCGCAAAATGTACAAAAAATCAAACGGCCGGCAGTGCACTTTTATATGCACATATGTATGTATGTTCGTGTGTTTGTGACCGAATGCACGATAACGACAGAGTAACAAAGCGTTTGTTTAAACTATATTAAACAATCGCGAGGCCGAGATGCAGACTCCGATAAAAACTATATCACGTAGGGGTCACCAAATGTTTATGGGGAAGACAACAAATATGCCACCCATATATTTATAATTAATAACGCACGAATAGGTTATATTAAAATGTATAGCGTTATTCGGAGCGGCAGACGGACTGTGTAAAAGCTCGGCTCCAAGAACTTCATATAGACATTTACAGGCTTACAAAGTAGTTGCTGAATAGATAAGCGACAGCTTTAGTGGTATAAGAAAGAAGGCGACAAAGATAAGCAGAGAGCGCTGCAGGTGTCGTCGTACACCTATGCGCGCATGACTAGGAGCTGTCGATCTGCTCCGAACAGACGCAATGGAAAATTTTCAACATACATATACATGCTTCTTGGGCAGAAGCCTTAAGATTTCAGTCAGGAGTGATCCTAGGGGCGACGACTAAGGTGCGAGTTGATCTTCTGTCGAGGGTGCTCTCCGGGGCAGTCGCCTTTGGACTTCTGGCCGTGGGGTGCTCCTCGAGCCGCGGGCCGTTGAACAAAATGGCGAGAAACTGCTGCGATCCTTGGTGAAGAGTGGCTGCGGCTCCGATAGGGATGCTGTTGAAAGTGCTCCTTTTGGCAAGTGCTGCCGGGCCAAACTTTGAAAAATTGCCGCGACTCAAGCGCTGAGCGAAAACTAGTTTGACGAAGATGTGGGAAAGTCTTACTGTTTGACTCACGATTCCACGAACCACTTAGTGATTCAGTGAACACTCGAAGGTTATTCAAAGAAGAACGTGCAGTGTGGCAAACTTCAAATAAACTCAAACTTCATCGATATGTGTAACGGCGCCTGTAGTGACTAACAGAAAGCTCAGCCTCAAAGTATGCTACGTTTAACGTGATGAACCAAGCCTTGCCACCCAGCCTTAATCTTGGTTGCCGTAGGTCAAACAGCTGATTCAGGGTTGCACTGCGTCGGTATTTTTCCGGAAATACTAAGCAGCTGATGATGCAGCTTTCCAGAGCATATTTTGAGGCTGAGCTTTCTGTTAGTCACTAGAGGCGCCGTTACACATATCGATGAAGTTTGAGTTTATTTGAAGTTTGAATTTTTATGAAGTTTGCCATTAACTAACATGAAGTAAGGAGCGATATAATGGACATCTGAAATAAACCGGTGTTAATTCGAATTGACTGTCTCATTCCGTAAGCCTCCCTAACTCTGTCTACAAGTTTTATTGTGTCGCGATGGTGCTGTTTAGGAAGTAATCGACCCCCTTGTGTCTTCCCTGAGCTAGCCGATCACGTAGGGATCACAAAATTCTTGTTACAAATTTCAATTTAGGTTTAAAAACAAGCCGTCGACATTATATGTTTTTATGTACTTTTATTGGGCGTAAAAAGTTTACAGGTGTTAAAGGTATTATGTATAAAATTAGTAGACAAATTCGTGTTCTGTAGAATGTATATCTTTCTTTTACCGGTAGGATTTTTATGAATCCGAATTAACACACCAATTGTATGCGTTGTTAAACATAATCTGCCAAGGACTCTCAGCCTGTTTGGGGGAAACTTCGAAAGAAGGTGGAACATATGGCCACTGGTTCATAGCCGAGCAACGCTCTGGGTGCGGCATTAAACCCAAATGACGTCCATCAGTCGAGCAAAGTCCAGCAATTCCCCTAGGGCTGTCGTTCGGATTAAGTGGATAGAGTTCAGTGGGCTCGCCTGTATCATCAACATATTGCAGTGTCACCAACTCAGCCGACTGCAGTACGCTTATGAGCTTCTCCTCTCGGAATGCAAAACGACCTTCTCCGTGAGCCACCCAACAGCCTAGAATTAGATCTTTCATGCTACCGAGCATGACAGAGCGATTGGATGGAAATTTCACTGTTGCCCAGCGGCACTCGAATTGCTCTGATTGGTTGTGGAGTAGGGCCACATCGGGATCAACACCTCGCTGCCTGGACATCCTACAAATCCAATAAGAGTCACCAGTTGGCAACCATTGCAAATGCCCAACGAGAAAACATATTCACTGCGCTTGAAGGCCTGAAACTGTGGTAAAAGGATGGAGCTGTGGAGAATGTTGGCTGCCTAGCCCTTGGCCGATCCTAGAGTGTCCGCATAGCTGAAGCCACCCGGGAAGATCAGTCCTCTGCATTGGGACACGCTCGCGGTTCCTGAAACATTTAAATTGTAAATTAGTAAAGCCTTGAAATGCAGCAATTCCTTAACTCGTCACTGCTCAAAATCATCATTCAGTCGACTGCGACGCCTGTAGAGCCAACTGCTACATCCGAAGAGTCATCGCTCTCACAAACCCTCTTTCTCGACCTATCTCTCTAAAACAGCACTCCCCCATCGTAACATAGGGACCGTGTTCCAACAAGAAAAATTCTAACCGTCCCTACAGTTCCACCATACAGCACAAGCAGCAAATCATCACGAAGTCGACGGCGAAGTCTTCAGAGCAGCCTGCGACGACGGCAAAGTCAAACGCAACGGCGGCAAAGCCGATTAAAAGATTAAATAAATTCTTCAGTAAGAATAAGAGAATTAGCTTCTATAGATTGTGTGAATCATACTCAACTTAACTAAAAACATTACAATCATATTGGTATTTCTGTTAAATGTTTGTCCCATTTGGTTTGAAGAATTCTCGGCATTAATTTTTTTATTAGTTCAAGTAGAGCAAGAGTAAATGACCAGTCCATTTCGCTTGGGATATCTTTGGACGTTGATGCACTATGGTCAGTACAAACAAGTGGCCCTACGACACCAAGCAAAGCTTGTTACGCGCGGAGCTCATCACCGTTTTGGGCGAGTAAACATAATCGCGGACAAAGAAAAAGGCAATGTAACAATAGACAATTAAAAATACAGGTCAATATACGAATAGACAAAATACATCAAGTAAAACTAATTGGTTACTAGGGAGGATAGTATTATTGATTTAAAGATAGGAAGTGAGTCAGTAGTAGATAATAGATGATATAGTCTATTATAATCATTGCAAAGTACTCTAAAAGGTTCATGCATTGCGTAATTAGAGATACAGTGATTTAATACTAAAGGAATATAGTTTCTAGTGAATCTATTTGGCACATTAAAATGCAGGCGACCCAGTAACTCGGGACTCTCTACATCACCATGAATAAGATTTCTAATAAACGTAATACCAAGCATAGTTCTACGGTTAGCTAACGATGGTAAGTTAATTAGAAGTAGTCTACTAGAGTAGGATGGTAGTATTAGGCTTGTATCCCAGTTAAGTCTCCGTAAGGCAAATATTAAGAAGTTTTTTTGCACAGACTCAATCCGGTCTATATGCACCCCATATTGGGGACTCCAAACAGGAGCGCAGTACTCAAGAATTGGTCGGACTAATGAAATAAACAAGGTCTTTGTGACATAGGGATCATCGAATTCCTTCGACCACCTTTTGATAAATGCAAGCACGCCCCTGGCTTTATTTACCATAGTAGTAATGTGATCGGAAAATTTAAGTCTAGGATCCATGTAGACTCCAAGGTCGTCAGCATGCGTTATCCTATCTAACGCACAACCACTCAAAGTATACGTTGAGTAGTGGGGGCAGACACGAAAAAAGGTCATTAGTTTACACTTATAACCATTTAAATTCAATTCATTATCCATGCACCATGTTTGAAATGCATTTAGATCCGATTGTAAAGCTAAACTTTGTGCGGGGTCATTATATTGCAGGCACAACTTAACGTCATCTGCGTACATAAGAACCCGTGACTTCGTTAAGACTAATTTATAAATAATGTAAACAGGAGCGGACCGAGATGACTTCCTTGTGGTACACCGGAAGTAACTCGGATTAGGGATGACAAAGAGTTTTTAAAAATGACCCTTTGAGTCCTATCATTCAAATAACTTAAAATCCACCTAAGAAGATCACCTGAAAACCCTAAAAGGTCCAATTTCCGGACTAAAATCGGGTGACTTACAGAATCAAACGCCCTACTAAAATCAGTGTAGACCACATCAGTCTGACGATTCTTTCTAAAACCTCCTATAACAAATGAAGTAAACTCCAAAAGGTTGGTTGTCGTTGACCTACGTTTTATAAATCCGTGTTGACAAGAGGAAACAAGGGACCTACAACTGTGTTGTAAATGAGGCGTAATAATGTTCTCAAAGAGCTTCGGTATAGCTGATAGCTTTGAAATACCTCTGTAATTACATGCGTTCAATTTACTCCCTTTTTTATGAAGCGGGATAACAAACGATTCCTTCCATCTGTGTGGGAAATCGGATGTTTCTAAAGACAAAGTAAACAGTCAGGACCCGGAGAGTAGACTGGTTTGACCCTTTGCAATTCTAAAAGAAGTGAGCTTTTACTTATAACAGGACAACAAATAAAGTTTGCTTTAGGAATGACATATGGGTAAGACTGATCTGGAGGACTTGATGTTGCATAGGTGGTTTGAAAAAACTGTGCAAAAAGATCGGCTATAGCTTGATCAGTGCTAGCAGCCGAATTTTCAAATTTAAGTGATGATGGGTAACTAGAAGATTTACGCTTTGTGTTAACAAAATTATAAAACTGTTTTGGATCCAGTGTAAACTTGGTCTTTTCTTATGTGAAAATATCGCATGTTTGTGTTAAAAGCATTTGCTTAACAATAATATCATCTGCAAGGTCTACTAAAAAGTATTTCCAAAAATCGGCACAGTTTTTAAAATGAGTTTTATTAAGATAAAAAAAATCAAGAATAATTACTATTTTGGATTTTATATTTTTTTCACTCAGGAATTTTTTTTTTTTTTTTTTTTTTAAATGCTTTGCTATTTATTTATTGAATCTTCTCCCTTTGGATACTAACAATAAGTGTATCAAATCTTAGACTAATTAATCTAACTCACAGTCATATGACTGATGTTGTGCTAAAGGGGCCCGAAAGTTATAGCTGGCTTGGCAGGTCGTTGCGTTGTAGACGGGATCGGCTGGAAACCCAAGTCAAGCCTCTTGCGAGGCGATTGGGGTGCACAGAGAGTTTTTCGTTGTAGGACGCTTTTTGTTTGTCTATTTCATCTTTAACGGTAAGAATGCTTAGGTCCCTGTGGATGTTTTGGTTGCGAATATACCATGGTGCCCCAGTGATAGTTCGCAGGATTTTCGATTGAGCGCGCTGTATAATGTCTATGTTGCTTCTGCTGGCGTTCCCCCATAGCTGGGAGCCATATGTCCAGATGGGCTTGAGAGTGGAGTTGTAGAGCAAAACCTTGTAGTCCAGACGCAGGGGCGAACGAGCGTTAAGAATCCAGTGGAAGCTGCTGGCCTTTAGTTTTAGATGTACTTTCTTGCGTTCGATGTGTCTTCTCCAGGTTAGTCGTCTGTCAAGGTGGACGCCGAGATACGTTACATCGTTGACTTGGGGAATCTGCGTATTATTCAATAATAGTGGAGGGCATGTTTGCCTGTTGAGAGTAAACGTTATGTGTTTACATTTTTGTTCATTTATTTTAATCCGCCAATCAGATAGCCACCTCTCTACTACGAGGAGGTGGTTTGCTAGCTGTGTTGTGGCTCGGCCTGGGCACCTCGAGCGACTTAAAATTGCGGTGTCGTCAGCGAACGTAGATGTTGTTAGCTGCTCGTTCGTGGGAATATCCGCTGTGTATAGGAGGAACAGAGTAGGCCCAAGCGCGCTTCCTTGCGGGACTCCAGCTTTGATAATGTAGTCGTCGGATGTTGTTGTATTGCACCTTACTGCGAAGGTCCTGTTGTATAGATACGACTCAAGAAGCTTGTGAGTGTAATCAGGTAAGTGTGTTTTGATTTTGTGCATGAGGCCATCTAGCCATACTCGATCGAAGGCTTGAGATACATCGAGGAATATTGCGCTGCAGTATTCCCGATGCTCAAAGGCTGTGCGTATTTCTGATGTTATTCTGTTAACTTGTTCGATTGTTCCATGGTTTTGACGAAATCCAAATTGATGAGCAGGGATAACATTGTGTGCTCCTAGATATGGTGTTATGCGAGTTAGAAGGCATTTTTCGAACAGCTTAGACAGACACGATAATAAACTAATTGGTCTGTAGGATGACGGAATTGTGTGGTCTTTTCCGGGCTTCGGTATCATAATGATAATAGATTTTTTCCATTTTTTCGGATAGTAGCCGAGAGTTATAATCCCATTGAAGAGCTTACAGATAACCTCAATGGCAGAGTTTGGAAGTTCAATTAACATTTTTGGGGTTATTTGGTCACCGCCAGGGGCCTTTTTTGGTTTCAGTTCCCCAATGACTTTCGCGATCTCCTTTGGCTGAAACAATGGTGGTAGGGAAATAGATTCAGATTCGATTTGTGGTAGGAAAAATGAACCAGTGGCAGGGTTCGGCTGGAAGACGTTTCTTAGATGTAACGCAAAAGTTTCGGCTCTATCTTCGTCGCTGCGGGCCCAGATGCCAGATAAGTTTCTTATCGGAGTCACTGTTTCGATTGGAGAGCTCAGATTTGGGTGAGCCCTCCACAGAGGATGTTTTGTACTGGTGGGCGATAGTTTTGTAATGTACTGCAGCTGTGCATTTTCTGTTTCTTGCTTTAGAGCTCGATTTAGTGAGCGAGTGGCTTCCTTAAGACGTTGTTTTGATGACGGCGATCTGTTGGCTTGCCAGGCACGTCGCAGGCGCCTCTTTTCTAGGACTAACCGTTCAATTTGCAGATTAGTTTTGATGTGGTTGGTTTGCGCGTCCCTGCCTTGTGGTGTTGAGATATTGGCTGCCTCCACGAATACTTCTTCAAGAGCATCGGTAGAGCAGTCGATGTCCGCTTCGATGTTGAAGTGAGGTGTTAATTTGATGTGTGAGCTTACATACTTTTTATATTTTAACCAGTTGGTTCTGTGCGACGTCAGCCTGAGGGGGTGATCTGTGGTTCTTGTGCTTTTTTTTTTTTTTTTTTTTTTTAAATGCTTTGCTATTTATTTATTGAATCTTCTCCCTTTGGATACTAACAATAAGTGTATCAAATCTTAGACTAATTAATGTAACTCACAGTCATATGACTGATGTTGTGCTAAAGGGGCCCGAAAGTTATAGCTGGCTTGGCAGGTCGTTGCGTTGTAGACGGGATCGGCTGGAAACCCAAGTCAAGCCTCTTGCGAGGCGATTGGGGTGCACAGAGAGTTTTTCGTTGTA